GTCCCAGGCGTGGCTTGGATGATGACAGGCCAAGTTGGAGAACCACAGATGAAGATAGGGGTCCAAAGCGTGGCTTAGACGATGACAGAATGTCAAGGCGTGATGATGATCGTGGACTGAGACGTGTTGATGATGACAGAGGTCCTAGACGGGGAGATGATTCCAGACCTGGTCCTTGGAGACCATTTGGTAAACCAGGTAAGCTGATTCACATAGATTGGAACTGTTCACTCTGTATTTCTGAAGAGTACCCATTATACCTGGGCACATTGTATTCGTTTCCCTGGAGAAACAAATTTTATTTATTTTATTTATTTATTTATTTAACTTATATGCCACCCACTCTACCCAAAGGACTCACGGGTGCTGTGGTGACTCAGTCCCGCCCCCAGAAATGGGTAGGGCACTTACTGGACTCGCACAGCACTCGGCTCTGTCATCATCCTTGTTGCACCAATCCTGGAAGGAGCCCAGCTGCACTTCTCCACCTCCCCACATAGCCATCCACTTCAATGTAGAAGTGGAATGGGGAAATGAATAGCAAATGCCCATGTCTAATAGTCAGCATTTATTCTGTATAAGCATGTATTGAAAAAAATATGTTAATTTATAAAATTTCTGTATCAAATTGATGTGAACCTGATAAGGAGTTTGCCAAAGTGAAATTTGTGTACTTTGATTTCTGTTGGTGAGTAAAGAGATGTGTGAACAAAGATTCTTAAATGAAGATGATCAAAATAGTAATATAACTCAGACGTGGTGGCGCTGTGGGCTAAACCGCAGAAGCCTGTGCTGCAGGGTCAGAAGATCCGGCAGTCGTAAGATCGAATCCACGCAACGGAATGAGCACCCGTTGCTTGTCCCAGCTCCCGCCAACCTAGCGGTTCGAAAGCATGCAAATGTGAGTAGATAAATAGGGACCACCTCGGTGGGAAGGTAAACAGCGTTCCGTGTCTAAATCACACTGGCCATGTGACCACGGAAGATTGTCTTCGGACAAACGCTGGCTCTATGGCTTGAAGAGCGGGATGAGCGCCGCCCCCTAGAGTCGGACACGACTGGACAAAAATTGTCAAGGGGAACCTTTACCTTTACCTCATACCAAAATGAGTTGAATGTAAGTGTGCTAATTGGAAGAAAAATATCATTTCCTGACACGAAAAGGTCTCAGCAAGTTATATAATATGTGGCCACTTGAAACAAGTTGCCATTCATGCTTTCTAGGAACTCCTGCTTTTTGTGGGTAGAGTTCAGCTTTGCCAGAGATAGCAAGTATTTTGCATTCTTCAACACCGACATCAAATTTCTAAGCAGCTTAGTAGTTAGGGTTTCTTCAGTAGTGTTAATTGTGATTGTCCTCCACAGATTGTAATGTTCACATTACATTACAAAATGTTATTTTTCCAGAGAGCTCAGTAAAATCTGCTTCATGTGCTTTGTTTAATTTATGTTACTTTTCCCCCCCAAATCTCTAACTTCTTACATCTTGCATTCTGCCAGTATGTATAAACATTATTTTAACTGCTGTCTATAAAGATAGAGTTGCTCAGATGCAGACTTGAAACTGGATAAAGGACACTTTTCCTCCCTTTCTTTGTAAGCATCCCTCTGTGCCCATCAAAACAAATCTGACAGCTTCTGCAAATGTGTGGATATCATAAGGGATTACAGCTGGGACTTTTTGTATTTAATGGACTTTATCCCTGTAATTTGATGGGGAGAAGAGCATCCTGTTGCACTCTGGAAATTGTTCCTGCTGCACAGCAGGATGCTTTCCCCCCTGCTTACCAGAGGATCGTTGTGGGAACTGCACACAGGTAGAGGAGCTGTTTTACCTTACCCTGTTTTGGGGTTTCACTCCCATAATTCGGCTTGTGGAGTTCCCCCTGAATTATCAGGTAGGAAGACCATTAAATACAAAAGTCCCATTCCTATATGGAATACTGTTCTGATGACTAGATGACATTGGACAGAAATAACTGAATAAATGGAAGCTCTGCATTTTTTTTACTGTTGAAATTTTTATTTAGAAAAATGGAATTATTTTCTTTTGGCAGGTGGATGGAGAGAACGAGAAAAGGCTCGAGAGGACAGCTGGGGACCTCCCAGAGACTCCAGACCTTCAGAAGATCGTGAATGGGATAGAGATAAAGATCGTGATGAGAATGAAAAGGACCGAGAATTTGACAAAGACCGTGATTTTGATCGGGAAGACCGTTTCAGGCGTTCTAGGTTGGATTTTAATGTCTCCCTCTCTGTTTTTCTCCATATAAAAATATTTTTCATACATCTTAATAAAATGTCTTAAATTATTGTGGGATTAGGTATTTCACTTCAGTACGATTGTGAGATATACGACATCAGTACTGTATTTTGAAATGCAGATGTAGTTTCTAGTTGGTTACCATTTTTAACACAGAATTAATTTTTGTTAATTCTGTCACAGATTTAAATTAAAGAGTACATTGATTATTGCAAGAAGAAGTCATAGAAGAGTTGGCAGTTTATGTAACCATAAACATTTAAGAGTGCTTTTAGTACATTCAGAAAGAATAGCAGTTTTTGTTTTAAAATCAGGTTGTGGTGAGTTTGCAATAAAATGGCTTGGTCTGAATTTTATTTTGCATTTCCCTTGCAGCAAAGGCTACAGTTACAGCTTTTTCTTATTACTAAAATATGCTTCTGTTACTAAAGGGATGATGGTGGCTGGAGAAGAGGACCAGCTGAGGAGGCTTCAAGCTGGAGGGACTCCGGCCGTCGTGATGAATGGGACAGAGGTGGCCGTGACTCTAGAGATGACCGGGGTCGTGATCTTCGAGATCGGCGTGGCGAAGAAAGGGAAAGAAGAGGGCCACCTCCCAGGGCAGACAGAGAGGAAGGTAAACTGGAGTTCTACTATTCTTTTCCTCAATCATAACACCCTTTCAGGAAAACATTAAGAAGGATTATCTTTTATCTAAATATATAGTTGGCCTGTAAATCTATAGAACTTTCGGCCTTTTAACCGTATACTTTTAAAATGTAAGTCAGTATTATGCTAAGGAATATCCAAGTAGGATGTTCTTCCATTGTGGAGTTAGACTATTTAGTGCTTGATAGTTCTTTGCAGATGTGAATACGAGGGGGTGCTGATTAGTATTGAGCCTTTCCCAGAAAAAATTGAGCTAGGAAGCTGTAAGTGCCACAGTATTCTACATATTCCCCCAGGAAGTCAATTCACATGCAACATCTGTCCTGCAGCTTCTTAAGTCCCTGCAAATAAAATTCTTCCAACTGCTGGTGTAACCACTCATTTGCAGCATTAGTTGCCTCCAGAACACTCCCAAATCGTTGTCCCTTTAGGTGTTTTTTTGAGTTTGGGGAATAGATAATAGTCAGAAGGAGCCAGGTCAGGAGAATAGGGTGGATGGGGCATCACTTGAAAGCCTAAGGACATCAGTTTTGCCATTGTTCCGCCTGCAGTGTGTGACGAGGCATTGTCATACAACAGGATGACACCTTTGGAGAGCTTTCCTCGACATTTTTCCTTGATGTTTTGCTTCAGCTTTGTCAATAAAGCACAGTAATATTTTGCATTGATGGTTGAACTCTGTTGGATGTAGTCCACCAGCAGAACTCCCTTCTTATCCCAAAAAAACTGTTGCCATTTGCTTCTGCACTGACCTTTGCACGTGGAAGTCCTTTGGCCTGGGGAAATCACTGTGCCTCTATCCCTTAAGCTGTTCCTTTAGACTGATAACTAACATCATCAGTTACCACTTTGCCCAGGAAATCTGACTTATTTCTTGAAAAATGTTCCAAAATAGCCACCGATGACTCCACACATTTCCTCTTTTGTTTGGTTGTCCAAACTTTGGGGATCCACTTTGCTGTCAGCTTTCTCATTTCCAAGTAGTTGTGGATAATGGCACCAACTCTCTCACATGATATTCTCAGATATATAGCAATACTTTTGGCTGATATTAGGCGGTCCTCCATGATCATGTCATGGATGGCTTTCACATTTGCAAGCACAGAGACAAACAGGCCTTCCACTGGGTTTCTCACTTTCAACACCGAAATGGCCAGTTTAAAAATTGACAACTCAACATTTAACTGTTGATATGAAGGGCCACTGTTTCCCAGAGTTTGTGACATTTCATCATGGATCTGCTTTGCACCTTTCCCTTGGAGAAACAGGAAGTTGATTATGGTCCTATGCTCTTCCACATTGAACTTTTCTGGAGGTGCCACCATGTTCACTTTGGACCAGAAAATGAAAGTTAAAATCATAGGTAATTGATTTTTTTCACCATTGAATACAGACACATTGGCCAATATGCCCTCAATTTATAGCTTCCTAGCTCATTTTTTTCTGGGAAAGGCTCAATACTTACCAGCATCCCCTCGTACTTTTGCTGTTTTACTTCCAAAGTACTTTTATAGTTACAGCAATACAAAGTGTATGTCTTTTAGTTGTGTACCGGCTGTGTAGCCTCAATCTTTAAATACTGTTGGCTTCAAAAAGTATTTTTTCCATTCTAGTCTTAAATTCCAAAATGTACCACCTAATCAAACATATATGTCCTATTTGCTTCTCATTCTGTAGTTCTGTTCCAAGATTTGTACTTGGTGACCTTTTAAAAAAATAAAATGCTCTATTTTAGGACTGTGAGTTTATACAGTGCAAAAAATAATATGCTAAAGTGTCTGTTTCTTCTGATTTGCCCTAAGATTGTTTTGCATTCCAATATAACTCAATTGTTCTGTATTGGATCATGGTACAAGGAAGCAAATAAGCCACAGTTGAAACAATACCCTTGCTTGTTTTTCAGTGAGCTCTTGGAGACGTGGTGAGGAAAGAAAGGAGGAACGTGAAGAACGTGAAACTGTTCGAAGACCACTTGCTGTAGCTCCTCCTTCTGCAACTTCTGTTTCCAAAGAGCGAGAAAAAGATGGTGAGAAGGAGAAAGGTGCCTGGAGAACAGAAAAAGAACGGGAAGCCCTTCGTCGCACTAAAAATGAAACAGATGAAGATGGTTGGACCACCGTGCGGCGTTAAGTTCAAAGCCTAAATGGTTTTAAGTTGGTGTTTAGCATCAGTTTGATAACAGATTATAATATTGGTGCTTTAACACTCTGAATTGGAATTCTTTAACAAAATTTTCTAGGTAATGTGAAGGCATGAAACTCTTACTTGTATGTAACCTGATCATGCATAGAACTTGCAACTAAAAGTTGGAAATTAAATACTGGTTATCTGAAATTTCAAATGTTGTGTATGTCACAGATCACTTGGTGGTAAGAAATAAAACATTGGACTCTGTACTTCTGTTTGAGTGGCAAGTATATCTCTGTTAAAAACACAATTGAAATTTATTTTAAGTAGCTTTTCATCTGGAAATAAGTATGTTTGGAATTACATTTTTAGTACTTAAAAATGATAATTTTGTGAGGCCATAGTGGTAAGCATAAACACTTCCTACTTGGGGTATTTTGTTGGCAAGAGGTTTTCACTGCTAGTATTCTGTGAATTCAGTATGTTTTAATTTGAATTACATACAGTAAATATTACTGATGTTCAGCTACACTGGGACATTTTTGTAGACTCTACTTGAATTCATATACTTATCAAGCCATTTTACAATACCAGTTTTCACAGTGAATGCTACTGCAGTGTCAAAACAACCAATGACAATTTGAAAGCATTTGAATGAACACCACTGAGGGCTCCCCCCCCCCACTGCATATAGACTCTGCTTTTTTCTGTTACGGATAATTCATGCCTTTTCCAAGCATTTATATTATAATGTCCTATTTCAAGTGTGTGGTTGGAGGAAATGCTCACTCTTCCTTTATTTCCCAATTTCTTGTCTTCAGAGTAAGTGCTTTACCTTTAAACCAAGTGCTTTGTAGTAAGGGCTGGTTGACTTCAATTTGGGGTATTGAATTAGTAAAGTTAGTGATTGTTTTCAATTGAAGCCAACACAGGACTTGCTGCTATGTGTTAAATTTCAGTGATAAATAAACTTAACAAAATAAGACGATTTTGTTGTGGTGGTTTCTTCATTGCAGCCTTGTGTAAATGTAATCTATCTGGAGTAGTTTCCAATCCATTACATTGGCGTGATTTAAGGACACATGACTTCCAAACTTATAGGAAGTGGAAGGAATCATGACCTGCTAATTTCCTGTAATTCAGAGAAACAGTGCTCTCTTGAATAGCTGGGTTAATGTTTGGATAGAGACTAAATGAACTCAGATTGCCCTAGGTTGCTGTAGATCTGCTGTTTTCACCAAGCTAACCATTTTATTAACCACAGCTGACATTATGTTAAGTTTAGCTTGAAGTACAAATTAAATGACTTTAAAATAAGAGTTTTGCCTACAGCTGGGAACTTTGCTTCTGCTTATAAAGTGGGTTAATTCAGGTTTGCTCATTTTCTACCCTCAAGGTCAAAGGGAGTACCGTGTTATTAGGTTTTAGCTTGAAGGCAAAAGCAGGCATGATGCTACAATTGTATTTGTTCATATGTAGCAGTGAGGAGTCTTGAAGGGTAAGCCATGGTAAAAATAGTTGGAAACATTGCCCTTCTACTCTTGATCTCTGTGGTACTTCCAGTGTCCCTCTAATAGGGAAAATAGGCCAGTATACAGAGAGAGCCTGACGTAGCAGCGGTTGAATAAAGCTTCTACTAGTCATCTACCATAGATCCTGCTCAAAACTTAAGTTAACCTTTTGTTCCATAAAGAATGTCAGAAACACCTTAGTATACAAGACTTGCAGTACAGAACCTGGAAGGCTGCTTTATCATCAAATGGCTGCCTTTGCACTCTTGATACATCTTACTTGGATGACTATAAACATAACATGAATACTTAATAGGTTTGGAAAACAGTCCCAGCATTATGACAGGAGATACTGGATTAGCAAATGTTGATTTCTGGAGTTAAGACTGAAAAAAATACCCATGAAGATACAGCTCTTGTGCTGACTGGATAGCTCAGTGAGTTAAGCTGTGGACTCGAAGGTTAAGAGTTTCAGTGGCCCACTGTGCACCTCAGAAGAGCTAGTCTGAGTGGCCTTGGCAAGATGCACAGTCCCAGGATGCCACCAGAAAAAGGAAATGGTAAACCACTTGTGAGTACTCTTTAAAAAAAAAACTGAAAAAGGTCACCAGGAGTCAGAAATATTTGATAGTACAGTTACTATTATAGCTCCTAGACTATAATAGATAATGGCAATTGATTTCTTTATTTGGGCTAAAAGCTGTAGAATTTGATTAGGAAGAACAGCCACTATATGATGGTCTCAAGGTGAAATATATCCTATCATTGAGCTCTACTGTCAGGAAATGACTGCTGAAACTTGGGAAATGAATTTTACAGGAGATTCCATAATTAAGAAATGTGTAGGTGCTAGAATGGGTTCTTCCAGCTTGTCCACCATCTTGGAAACCTCAGAACAACCAAAAATTGATACTTGAATGGGTTTTTACAAGCAATACAGGGTCTCTCCTTTTTTCTGAATTCATCAGAATTAATTGATTACCTATAGTATACATTAAGGTGTCTACAAAAGAGTCCCAAGTAATCATTGGTCAGACTGGTCAACAGATGTGTAACTGAGTAAGAACTAAAATCTTAATATTCTGGCAATAAATGTTTGCTCTAAAGTTTTGGGGTCTACTGACACAAAATGCAAAGCAACCTCTCAGTGTGAATGATGTGACTACATAGCCCCTGCATATAGGGCTGTGTGTTCACAGATACGTAGACAAAAATCTGTAGATACCATCCATTCAATCCAACTTTAGTACATTAGCTAATGTGTACTAAGAGAGGCAGTAAGGCCTTTCCTTCCAAACCCCTGGGAGAGGTCATCTGGAGTTTCAGGATTCAATGTTACCAGCGTGCAGATGACGCACAGCTCTCTTTTTCCATTTAATTCAAAGGAAGCTCTCTTGTCTCCAAACTGGTGCCTCATCTCTGTAATGGAGTGGATTAGGATTAATTTGAAGTAAATCTTGATAAAACAGAAGTGGCTAGTCATAAGGCAAGTCTGGGAATAATGTTCGATGGGGCTACACTCTCCCTGAAAACAGGTTTGCTGCTTGGGTGTATTTCTGAAAGAAAATAAATTATTTCCAAAACTTGGATGTCATGCTCATATGAGCTTTATTTACAAATGAAGCCCATATGAGATGGGCTTTATTCATGCAAAAATCTGACAAAAGTTGTCAACCTTTCCTTATGCATAAGTGCAACAAGCTGTGAGGAAAAAAACATAACAAAATTGTATGTTTATTGAAAAAGACTGTTCTTGCTACTGAACAATGTTTCATACACACAGCAAAAGATGAGAATAACTAAGAATCGCTGTCTTCCCTATATATTATTTGATGCAAACAGACACAGTGCTAAACTAGCTCTTAAAATGGATGAAAGATTAGCATTCTCCTGATTATAAAATGCTAAAAAGAAACACCTGAACAAACTGCATCAGAATTAGTTCTAAAGGACTTGGTGCCTCAACTTCATGAAGTCCATTGTAAAGATCTGAATATACACACAGCTGCTTTGATATGTACTGGACAAATGCTACCAGACATGATATAGTGGGATTTGCTGTTTGACAACTGTCAACCAGTGAAGAAGAGGAAAACGGGTCAGGTTTGCGATGTGTAATACTACATTATCATCAATGATCATAATGTGCCGTCAAGTTAATTCTGACTCATGGCAACCCTTTTCATGTTTTCCTTGGTAGAGAATTCTCAGAAATGATGTATCATTCCCTTCTCCTGGGGGCACCTGGGGACTGTGCTCCTCAGCTAGATTCTTAGAACTACCGAGTTACTCAACCAGATAGTGAAACCCTTTAATCTGTTCAGCTGGACAAGATTTGAAATCCTTTAGGAAATAGTTACTGCCAGTACTGTATCACACTCATTTTGCAAACCAAGACATTTGAACTTCAACACTATATAAACTGCAGCTGTAATGGAAGGTCCTGAGGATAGTCAAGTTACCATAGTTACTGATCATGAAATTGAAGAATGCAGATCAGCTGACTTGTTGCTAGTGAGGTAGCAGGTGGCTATTTGATCACTGACTTCTTTCAAAAAGCAGCCAGAATCCTATTCATTTTGCCTATCAAAACAGATGAATTTGTGCAGCAAACTGCAGGCAAGATAAATTGACGTGGGCATTTGCTGTCACATGTGTGAATCAGTGTGCAAAAGCAAAGACCTATACAGAGTTCTTCATTCTTGACAAATCACTACTGAAATCAATGCTGATGGACCTACAGCAGTATAAACATGTAACAGGATTCTGGTAATTCATGTAATCATCCAGTTGTGCATGTGCTATAGTGATGATATGCGTTTCTTGAATACTTTGGGTTATTTTTTAAAAAACAAAAACTTGAATTTCAAGTGAGGGTGGACTTAAGAGTTATTTCAAGCTTTCTTCCCCTTTTGTGAATACAAAACTAGGGTGAAGAGACATCACCTCATGATGCCTGTATCTAAACAGGGCATTAATCTCCACTGAGTCGAGAAAACATCTGCGTTGAAAGCATCACCAGAGAAAGCTGCTCAGAGTAGACTTTGGTCTAGATGGGTGGGGTATAAATTTAATAAATAAATTAAAACATTTCTTGCCAGTTGAATTAAAGAAAGAATACTTCTGGAAAAAAATGGAGAAGAAACCCCAGTTATCCAACCATCAAAGCATTTGATGAAATCACATATTCAATTCTTAAAAAAAAAAAACACCTCCAGTTTATGTGGGATATTGTGCTTCTGCATCCATGATTCAAAGATGTGAGGAAACGGCCTGATATAGCTGTACAATTTCATGTCCACATTGCCAGCAGAAAAAGGATGCCAAGCTTTACATAGCAAAGGGCAGCCTGAATGTTGACAACACCAATGGCAGCAGTCAAGGTGGATACCTTCCACTTCTCACTACCATTCACAATGTGACAGTATGCAAAGGAAAATCTCAAAAGCAGACTCCTTTCTTCATCCATTAACTAATCTTCACCCAAGCACAAAGCAATTGTCAGAGCCGTTTTTCAATTATTGCAAGAAGCCTCTCATTCTGAGTTGCCCTCAAAATCTTTCATGCAGAAACTTACAAATCTCTACTAAGGACTTTGCAGTAGAAATCTAGATGTTCTAGAATTTCCCTGAAAATTCTGTCTGTTTTCTACCATCACATTAAAAAGCAGCATTTAGAGCACCTTTGCAAATTGGGAAGGGAAGATTTTATTATCTCCTACAGTAAAGTGCTGTTCCTCTCACATTTTTGCAACTTCACTACTTAAGCATTGGTTTTCATTTTGATTGGCATGTATGTATACACTTATAGATGAACTTTTAGTCATTGGGACAGGAGCATGTGAATTTTAAAATGAGCACACTGTCTATAAGCAACCTTCCAAAACATTAGGAGAACCAGGCCATGAACCACACTACTAGAAGGCTGAACACAGCAGCTAGAGGTTTACTCTCATAAAGCCATTCAAGTGGCAGGATTATCACACATACACACAAACAGTGAACTTCGTAATGCTATAATCATAAGTTTTAGTAGAATGTACACTTTGTTTTGTCTCAATATTTAAACAAGTATCTTTCATCTTATTGAGATGCATGGGTTGGCTGACATGCATGGGATGAAACAGTTCCATCGTAAGCCTTCTTCCAGTATGCTTTGGGCTACTATGTTTAGGTATCTTAGAATGCTACAAGCATAATTTAAATGCTTTAAGATTCACAAGTACATTCTATGCACTCTTACTTTTTGCAGTGAATAACTGAGTCTTCTTAGTGTTAAAGAGATTGGGCAAGAAGGGTCAAATCAACTTGTTTTTGTTAGAAAGTTAATTTTTGCTATATGTCCATAAATAAACAGGAAGGAAAACTGATCACTCACCTGAAAGACATCCACAGTAGGCCATAATGATTGTTGTTTCAAAGACACACACTTTACCAATCAAAACAAGCCATCAAAACCATTACTACTCAGTACTTAGTTTGCTCCGCATTGGTCTTAGAGACACAAGAGTGTACGAGGCACAGGAGGAAAAAATAGGCTGAAAGTCCAGGTCTTTGCAACATCTTTACTTTCACTTTATAAAACCAACCAAGTCATCTCGGCTGGGCTACAGGGAGATAATTCGCATTTAAAGAAAGGCAAAGATAAGGAGGTAATGTATTAAAACTTTTTTTGAATGGCAAAACATACAAACAAGCACTCCAAACAAAACTTGAATATAAAGAGGTTAAACAAAAGTGATTCTATATCATAGGAAATCTTTTCAACATAGACTGTAAACTCCCATGGTCAACTTTTAGAAAGTAATATTGCTTGAAGACAAGTGAAGACCTCAGTGAAAAAACAAACACCAGTTCGGTACATTGCATTCATTGGTGCCCTTTCAAGTCTTTCTGCTTAGCCACGAAAGCACTGCCCTATTGAAACACACCTAATTAATAAGAGCAATAATAATAATAATAATAATCTTCATTTAGGTATGATACATCAAGCCGAAGTCACGTTGCATGGTTCTATTCTGGCTCTGTTTAAAAGTTCTCTTTTAAAAGAGTGCTCCCTTCCCAGCCAAGAATTAATCTTAAAGAAAGCTACATCAGTTGGAGCAGACTCTTAAAGGATATATCCTTAATTCCATTTAAAAATTAGATATGTTTTACAGTAGACAAATACAGTACCTCTAAACGGTATGTTATAATTCTTAATAGAGTTAATTCAAGGGGCCAGACTTCCTGGCTACTACTTATACAAACTAGAAACTATACTCGGTAATTCTGATACATAAATCAAGAACATTTCTCGCTATACATTCTACCGTCTTCGTGTTCAAATATATTAAGAGGAAACATCATTCAATTAAACGTCATTATTAGTTGTTGTTGTTTTTTTTTAAAAAAATTCCAGGAAGCGCCTTTTTCCCCCGGTAGGGGGCACACGTGCGCGCAAAGAAAAACCCACCCACCAAAATTAAAGGGAACGAACGAGGTAGGAAGCACCGTTGTCCGCAGGCCGGCCAAACCCGACAGCGCCCCCTAGCGGAGCTTCTTGCCGAGGATGTGCCGGGCATTTTTGAGCGGCTGTTTGGCGGGGGCGCCGCCGTGCATTTTGGACAAGGGGCAATATTTGATCGTGTGCGCGTTGTCCCCGCTCGCGCCGCACAGCGGGCACGTGTATCTCCGCAGCACCGGGCACAAGACGCGGCCGTCGGGTCCCTTGAGGATGTGCGTGGTGTACAGAGCCACGGCTTCCTTATTATTCCGGCAGAAGACGCAGACTTGCAATTCTGGCTTCAAGAGCCGCGAGCCGCCGCTCCTCGGGGGCGCCTGCAGCCGGCCATTCACCACCAAGCGTGGGCCGCCCCAAGCGTGGGGGGACCGGTCTCGCTCCAGATGCTCGGGCGAGCAATTGAACACCACCGAGGCCGGGCTGGAACGGCCCGAGAAGGGGCTGAAATCGGCGAAGCGCTCCTCCAGCAGGCTCTCGCCGGGGCTGAGGTGGTGGTGATGGTGGTGGCCGCACAAGGCGAAGTCGTGCAAATCCAGAGAGTTTTCAAAATAAGGGGTCCCTTCCTCCCCTTCCTCTTCTTCCTCCTCCTCCTCTTCCTCCTCCTCGTCGTCCTCCCCTTCCTCGGCAGCCTGGACTTGCTGGACCGTGGCCGCCACCACCACCGAGGAGGGCCCGCTCCGGTAGCCCTTGTCCTGGCCGACCGCCTTGGTGATCAGGGTGGCCAGCCCCAGGTAGTCGTTCCAGGAATTAAACGCGTTCCCGTAAGCGCCGCCGCCGCCGTGGTGGTGGTGACCCTTCGCGCCGTACCGGCTGGCGCCTGGCAAGAACTCCACGGGCTGGTGGTGGTGGTGGTGATGGTAGTGATGCGGGTGATGCTTCTCCAGCTTGCTGGGGTGGAAAGTCTCCATGGGGGGAAAACAACACAACGCTCCCGCGCCTCCAAACCACCCCCAGGAGCGCGCGCCCTGTCCTCTAGGCAGGCAAGAAAGGAGAAAGCGAGCGCCCGCCCGCCCGCACTTGCAGCGCAAAAGGGAGAGCGAGCGAGCGAGCGAACCAGCCGCCGGCCGAAGCCACCCCCGCCCGACTCCTCCTCTTCTGCCAGGCTTTTAGGGCTTGCAGCTGCTGAAATAGATACGCCAGAGGAGAGGCGGGAGGGAAAAACGGGGAGGGGGGGGGAAAGGCTGCGCTCTAATTGGCCAGCAGCCAAAGCTGGCCCGCCGTCCCCGCCGCCTGGTATTGGCTGGTTGAGGTTTATGAACTTTTCATGCCTGACAGCTGGGCGTTGATGGCGGAGATTCGGAGAGAGAGGCTTTGATCCCGAGTCCGGGGGAGAGAAGGGCTGCCAGGGTTTGGGAGGCATCGCCGTCAAGCTGGTCGCTACCCCCATTGCCTCTTGTTTTTTTGTTTTTTGCAAAGTGAAAAAATAAAGGCTCAATTTTTGGGGACGACGGGGCGGGAGAGGATGGTGCTAGTGGCAGGGTTTGTTTTCTTTTTGCTGTTGAGGAGCCACAAACTCGAGGGCGTCGAGGTTTGGCGCGGTTGACTTTTCCTGTACCCTTCTGGTCCTTCCCAGAGTAGTCAGTCAGAGAAGGCGCAGGGCGCGAGCTTCCTCAGTATTCATCGCCTCAGGGCAGAAATGGACCTACCCACCTCCGTTATGACAGGTGGAAATCAACAGGTGAAGCGTCCTGCCCTGGAAGAAACGGGATGGAGAAAAAAAACATCACCTGTGGATCACTTCCTTTTATACGGCTCTTAAAGCCACAACACTTTTTTTTTCACCTTATAAAAGGGTGGCAGCTATGGTGTCTGCTGGTGACAGCAAGGAAGAGCACCCTACCCTAAATCCAAAGCTTGGTATTTCTTTTAAAATGTACCCAGATAAAAACTGGAGACAGGTCAACAATGCTAGTGTTTTCCCATCAAGTGCGAATCAACATACAATGACCCTAACAGGTTTCAATGAAAGATATTCAAGGAGTGGTTTTATTCAAAGAGTGGTTTTACCAATTCTTCATTGCCAGGCATTTGGACCCAAGTCTCCTAAGTCCTAGTCTGTCACTCCATTCATTGCACCACACTGGATATCACCAACAATCCAATAGATTTTGCACAGGCACCCACCCCGTGCATGTTTATTTCAGGGGACATCACTGAATGGCAGTCCTAATCAGAGTGGCCAGTCTTCATGGTTCAGTACTCTGATATTTAAAATGGGAGAGAAAAGCAATACACACAAGGCAAAGAGTTTGCATATGCAGACATGCATACACATACCACCAGGAGTGCAGCTTCTCTTGTCTGTGTTGGGAATACTCCCTCCAGCTCCCAGTTTTCCCTATGCATTTGCTGTGGAGGTGCCTGGAAAATCTCTGTGGGTTGAATGGGAGAGATATGGGATTCTCAGGTATTAGGTGTGCATTTGCAAATGTCTGTACTCATTTGCAAATGTCTGTACAGTGTTGGTCCAGGAGTTCTTGCTGTCCTAGATGAGTTATCCCTATACCCAGACACTTCTTGTTATTTGATGAGCAGCGTAACAATCCAAATACATCTTTGGTTCTTCTTCATGGTCTCTGTGAATGCACACTAATTGATTAATCTGCTCCTGCACAGAGCAACCTCGGAACTTTCCAGAACTCGAGCACATGGGCCATGCTAGCTATAACCCCACCCCTGGTACTGAATGCCTCAGCTGGCTATAACCCCGCCCCTGGCACCGAATGCCTCAATTCCTTTCTTGCTACCACTGCAGCAGCTTCATTAGGAACTTCTGTGCTTCTTTCAAAACAAACAAAGAAACAAACAAACCCATACCTTAATTTCTGGACCTCCCTGGCTTCTGACTCTGACCGCGTGACATATAATCTCAACTGTGAGTTTAAAAGAAAAGAATAAAACTGGACTGTTAGTTCTCCTTTTTGAGAACCAGAGCATTGTTTATGGCCACTTCAGGCCTCTTCAAGAGGTGTGAGACCTGCCCCAATAAGATAGCTCTCTCCGACAGGCATTCTCACTGTTTGTTCTGCTTAGGGAAAGAACACCAACCCACTCTCTATTCAGTATGCAAAAATTTTACTAAACTGCCTTGAAGTTGAGGCTTCGACATCTCTGCTCCTTTCTCTGGGAGAATCTCTATCTCCTTCTCGAGGGATCACTATGGAGTCCTCCCAGGCAGTGGGTTGGTCTCCACTTTCACATTCACTGCCTCCTTCGAATACTTCAAAATCTTCTAAAATGGCACCTAAGCCCCATGTGTCTTCCTTGGGCTCAAGGTTGATGGCTACGATATCGACACTGAAGCCTCCCTTGGGCTCGACCTCAAAGAAGAAGGCACAGAAGTCTGCTCGGGGGGGGGGCAGAGACAGTATTGCCCTCTGCTCCATTACCGGAGATATCCCGGCGTGATACAGTATGTCTTACTATACCGTCGGGGGACGAGGATGGTCTGCCCTGAAGTTCTTGCTGTCCTAGATGAGTTATCCCTAAACCCAGACCCACTGAGCAGCATAAAAATCCAAACACATGAAAATATAAAATACAGTGGTGCCTCGCTTTTGCGCTTCGTTAAGCGATGGTCCCTATGGGCGATTTTCACTTAGCGATGGTTGGGACCATGCTTCGCATAGCGATTAAATTTTGGGTCCCCTGTTTTGCTTAACAATCGTTTAAACAGCCTCATATTTGCTGTTTTTTAAATGTTTTTCTGTTATTTATAAAGTTAAAGTTTACTGTTTAAAATGTTTGAAATCATAAAGTGCACTTAATAAACCCTTTGTTAACCAAATTTGACTTTGTTCTGACTCTTTTTAAATTTGTTGTTGTATTTTCCCCCCATTGAGATGCATTGAATAGGTTTCAATGCATTTCAATTGGGGAACCGCGTTTCGCTTAGCGATGTTTCCTATGGCGATTTTCACTTAAGGATGGCAATTTGTTCCTATTGGAACAGATTATCCAGTTTTTAATGCATTTCAATGGGAAACCCTGTTTCGCTTAGCGATGAAATCGCTTAGCAGCGATTTTTTCGGAACGAATTAACATCACTAAATGAGGCACCACTGTATATTGGATTGGTGTCTTTGCACACACACAGAGTGCATGTTTATTTCTGTGGACATCACTGAATGGCAGTCCTAATCAGAGTGGCCAAGCTTCATGGTTCAGTACTCTGATATTTAAAATGTACAGTATGTGTCAGAAACTGCCTCTGTTACACAACCTGCTTTAATGTGATTCCTCACATTAGAGCTGGACATGGAGCAGCCACCAACTGTCCAGTGGGCCAGTATGGGGAGGTTTCCCACTCCTACCAACAGTGCTAGGACTGGGCAGCAGCTGGTCCACTTGACATGTGGCAAAAATGGAGCCACTGGAGCTCCTGTCCCCTAGCTAGAACGATATCACCAGTTGGCCAGTGCTGAGGGAAGCCCTGATGTGCAGGTAAAGGTAAAGGTTCCCCTTGACAATTTTTGTCCAGTCGTGTCCGACTCTAGGGGGTGGCACTCATCCTGCTCTTCAAGCCATAGAGCCAGAGTTTGTCCGAAGACAATCTTTCCGTGGTCACATGGCCAGTGTGATTTAGACACAGAACGCTGTTTACCTTCCCACTGAGATGGTACCTATTTATCTACTCGCATTTGCATGCTTTCGAACCGCTAGGTTGGCGGGAGCTGGGACAAGCAACGGGCGCTCACTCCATCGCATGGATTCGATCTTACGACTGCTTGGTCTTCTGACCCTGCAGCACAGGCTTCTGCGGTTTAGCCCACAGCGCCACCACGTCCCTGATGTGCACCATTGCATATTTTTAGAAACTGCATCAAGGTTTGTGTCCTGTGCAACCAAAGTTGCTGCAAATTCCCTTCACAATATCTGGCACATGTAGTTGTGCTATATACCCTGTTTTCCCCAAGATAAGACAGGGTCTTATATTAATTTTTGCTCCAGAAAACACAGTAGGGCTTATTTTCAGGGGATATCTTATTGTTCTCATGTACAACAATCTACATTTATTCAGATACAGTCATGTCATATTCTGGTTGCTGCACAATGGTGGAGGGCGGAGTTTCGCTTAACTGGGGCTTATTTTTGGGGTAGGGCTTATATTACGAGCATCCTGAAAAATCCTACTAGGGCTTATTTTCAGGATAGGTCTTATTTTCAGGGAAACAGGGTAGAGGCAGTATGCCTCTTTGTGTCATCAGTATGCAGATGATACTCATCTCTACATCTCCTTTTTTCCAACAACAGTGGATGCTGTTTTGTCCCTTGAGCGCTGCCTGGGGGCCCTTCAACAATGGATGCAGGAGAATGGACTGAGGCTGAATCCGGGCAAGACAGAGGTCCTGAGGGTGGGTGACCCAGACATCAATGGTTTGAGAAATTCCCTCTTTTGGGGGGAGGTATGTATGTGACTCTTACACCAAGAGTGAGATTTGCAGCTTGGGTGTACATCTGGACCCGGCATTCACCATGGAAACTCAGGTGGCATCAGTGGTCCATTCTGCACACTTCCATCTTTAGCGGATTGTCCAACTGTGTCCCTATCTTGATGTGGGGGCACTCACCACTTTGGTCCATGTGCTCATAGTCTCGAGACTAGACTACTGTAATGTGCTCTACGTGGGGCTGCCTTTGAGACTGATGTGGAAACTCCAGATGGTGCAGAATACGGTGGCAAGACTTCTTACAGGGGTGAAAAGGTACTAACATATTTCCCCCACTCTGGCTGCCTTGCATTGGCTGCCCATTGGCTTCCATGTTGATTTCAAAGTCCTAACAATGACATATAAAGCCCTAAATG